AGAGTCGGACACAACTAAACAACAAAAGGGTATAAAATATGACACTTTCAATGCTATAACAATTCTATTCAGACATTCAAATTCTACAAAAGTGCAATAAAATTAAAAATGCCAAAAAAAACCTGTTTAACTTTCATAAATTCATTATCAGACATGAACAAAATGCAAAGGAATAAAACAGTATCCACAACGTCTTTGGAAAATGCAAATATTCATTTTTCAGCTAAAAGAAGAACTAAAACCTTCTTATTGAAAATAGGATTTAATTTGTATTAGCAGCTACATATGCAATCCCCATATTGTTTCATTCCCATGATGTACTTAATATACCTATCCTTGTTTTACCTAATGGCATCCTGCACCATTATTTGCTCATGAAGTTGCAATCACTTGGCTTGATTTTTAGGTTAGATGACCTAGACTTTTTGCCTGGGTCCCACTTTCTCAAAGCACCCTAAATCAGTGTCATTGTTTACTCTGAATCCTTCATGGTCAGATGCCAGGGCGCTCTTTTATATTTCAATCTTCGCAGGCTCTGGCTCTTTCTTAGTTTGTGGACACAGAAACAATGCCTGATGTAACACAGAACGCAGTGGGATTCCAAGAGAGCAACTTCACTGCCCAAAACATTTGAATAGAGAAAACAAGGCACTAATTTTAAAAATATATACAAATAGTTTGCAGAAAATAAACAAACCAAAAACTGTACCCCAAACTCTATGTTTTAAGCTCTAATACACACAGTGGTTAAATCTGACAATAGATAACAATAAATTCTGCAAGGAGCCAGAGGAAAGATCTTCAAACACAAAGGAAAGGAAACTCAAACAACAGAAGACTATTCTGTACTCACTAGAAACCGCAAGTTCAGACAGATCCCTAAAGCTCCCTCAGGACCTTTCCTAGCCCACCCCTGTTTGCAGAGCGTCCTTTCTCTGACTCATTTCTCTTTCCTCTTTAACCCTCCCCACCTCCCATCTTGTCTATTACTGTAGAAGGCAACGCCATCTTCTTAGTCCCTCAGTTTCCTCACCTCTAAAATGGACACCTCATGGGATAAATGTGAAAATTAAATGAAAGAGTATGAGGACCTCTGAGGTCCCTTCCAGCTTTAAATCTTTGATACTTTACAAAATGCCTTGTGAACATTGAAGGATTGTGTCATAGCAACAACTACAGTAGCTAGAATTTGTGGAGTGTTTTAAGGTTTGCAAAGTACTTTCCAAATAGTCGATTCTCACAACAACCCCGGAAGTAGGTGGTATTATTATCCCCATTTTACAGTTGAGGAAACTGAGGCAGATACAGATGAAGTGACTTGCCCAGCATCACACAGCTGGGGCAGGATTTGAGCTTTCATTTTCCTAAGTCCAGCACTCTATCCACTGGCACAACTAGTCATTATTCAGATTATTCATCTGGGTTTGTTTATGGTTAAGGGTCACATAGAATCAGTGACAGAGCAGGGATTAGAATGCAGTTCTGATGAATCAGCCCAGGGCTCTTGACTTTGCACCAAGGTGAAATGCCACCCTCCACCTACTCCCTCTCACATCTCCTTCTCATTGGCTATCCCCAAAGGTTAGTAGAAGACACGGGTTTTTTTGCCAGGTTTCCTTCCAAGGTAATGCACACACACTTACAATACCAAAGGGCTCTCCCAGAGACTGGAGTCCCAAGCAAAGCTAAATTCAGTATACGTCTGCCCCCTGCTGGTCATTCTCTAGTACTGCCCTCACTGCTGCTAGAACTAGGCTCAGGGTCATGATTCTATGACTGAACCTTGTGTCCCAAAGGCTTTCAGGATTAGCTCAGAGGGTGCTTGATCTTTACTTCTGGCCATCCTTCAGTACGTAGGAGTCCCCAGACATGGCTCCTGTCCTGATCTGAGGAGGGAGACCTGGTTCCTCACCTAAAAGAGTGAGCCATGCCGGATTTGTAATCAGAGCAGCCGGCTTCAAATCCCAGCTCCGTCCCATTGTCACCTATGGGAATTTAAGTATGGCTCCCAAACTTCAGAAATGTCCTAGGACAATACCAACTTCCCTCAAAGTCTCCGGGCTAGGAGACACTGAGACAGGTCAGATAATCATTTGGATAGCGGTGGTACATCAGCTTTTCTGAGAGAGGCAGGGTAGAAGTACAGCAAGGGCACTGAATTTAGAATCAGAGGATCTGCCTTCAAATCCCAGCTATGCAGCTTAACATAGGAGGTCACTTTATTTCTTGGGGCCTCAGTTACACATCCGCAAAATGGGAGTTGGGGGTGGGAGTTGGGGTTAGACTAGATGATCTCCAAAGCCCTTTCCAACTAACTCTAAATACTTTGGCATTTTAAGCTTTGCTTGGTCGGGACCTAGCCTCCCTTTCCAGGCTGATGACACCACATTACTCTTCCTTGCACCTGCTCAGTGCTCCACCCAAAAAGGTCTACTTGCTTTTCCCTACACAAAACATTCCATCTCTTGCCTTCATATTTTAGGTGTAGCTAATAGAGGGCTGGGCCTGGAGTGAAGAAGACCTGAGTTCAAACCCAGCTTCAGACCCTTACTAGCTGCGTGATGCTGGGTAAGTCATTTAAGCTCAGTTTGCCTCAGTTTCTTCACCTGTAAAATGTAGATAATAATAGCACCTACCTCCTAGGGTTGTTGTGAGAATCAAAGGAGATAATATTTGTAAAAAGTACTTAACCTAGTGCCTGGAACATAATAGGCTCTATAGAAATGCTTATTCTCCAATCCCCTTGGTCAATTTGCAGAGGCTGCTCCTATGCCTGGAATATATCCCCTCAGTTCTGCCTAGGTATTCCTTTTTCCTTCCAAGGCTCAACTCAAATGCCACCTTCTTCAAGAATTCTTTCCTGATTCCCTTAATGATTAGTCTCCACTCCCATCCCCATTGTGGTTTGGTATATTTATTTTGAAAACATTCCGTATTTACTGATCCGTTCACATCTTGTATCTAGAGATGTGTAATGTCTTGACGTCAGGGAAGGTCTCACTATTATATTTGTATCCCCAGTGCCTGGCACGGAGCAGTTTGGATGGATAACATATAGAACTCATGTAATTGAAGATAGATAATAAGATGGGCTGAGAATTGAACATGAGGACAGAATTTTATTTAATTTGTGAAATCATTTGGCTCTTTTTACAACCCAAAGTCCTCCAAGCCAGGGGCCATCTTTTTAGTAACATCACATCTCTATGTTGAGGCTCCATCGACTGCCTCTGTTTCCAAAGTGCTGAAGTTGAGGGTTGCCCAAAAGCCAATGGAGAGGAATACCTTGGGGATGAGGAGGCTATGCCACATTACCAGCCAAGAACTGGGCAAGGAAAGTAACACAAAGAATGTCATCTGAGCCAGGCAGAACCAGGAGAGAAGGTGGGCTGATAAGTCATGGAGTGACAGGGAGAGATGAGAGGAAGACAGCACCCGGATTCTAGGGGGGGTCCCTGCAATGTCAGGAGAAGTAGAGGGAGGCTCCCTGTGCAGGATTTATCAGTGCAAGTGGACTAGATTCAGATAGGATGACATGGATGGACTATGACCTCCACCTTGGAAGAATTACATACATCATCTCAACCAAACAGTTCCACTGAAGTCATAGTCTTAGATTTAGAGGTGGAAGAGAACTTAACCTGGGGGCCATGAACTTGCTTCTAAAAATATTTTGAGGGGCAGCTAGGTGGCACAGTGGATAGAGTATGGGCCCTGGAATTAGGAGGACCTGAGTTCAAATCCAGCCTCAGACACTTGATACTTATTAGCTGTGTGACCCTGGGCAAGTCATTTAACCCCATTGCCTACCAAAAAAAAAACAAAAAAAAATTTTGATAACTGTATTCCAATATAATTGTTTTCCTCTGTAATTCTATGTATTTTTCTTTTATGTATTTAAAAACCATGATCCTGAGAAGGGATCCATAGACTTCACTAGATGACCAAAGGGTTCCAAGACACACAAAAGGGTAAAGAACCTCTGATCTAGCATGCCTTCATCACTTTACATTTTAATGTCAGAAATGGATAAGGTTTTATCAGTTGCAATGATACTAAAGAATGCACATTTCCATGTAAACCACAGGATGTTTGCATCTGCCCTCTCATCTTTTCCAGGAGATTGCTCCTTCTATCTTGAAAACATTCAATCTCTCCCTCTCTCCTGGCTGCTTCTCTGCCACCTACAAACATGCCCACAACTACCCCATCCTTAAAAAACCCTTACTTGATCTGACCATCCCTGTTGGCTACTGTCCTATCTCTCTTTTTCCTTCCAGCCTAAACTTTGAGAAAGCTGCCAACAGCAGGTGCTCTCATTTCCCTCTTCTCTCATTCACTTCTAAACTCTACAATCTGACTTCCAACCTCATCATTCAACCGAAACTGCTCTTTCAAAAGTTACCAATGACCTTTTAAAAATTATTTAATTTTATGCTTATATATTAACAAGCTTTTAACATCATAGAAGGTCACAGCTGAAAGGGTCTTAGACTTCATACAGTCAACCTTTTCTTTTTGTAAGAAATAAAACTGAGGCCCAGGGGAGGGAGTACCTTACCCAGGTTTACTTAACAAGTTAGTGGCAGAGCTAGAACCAGGACCCAGGTCTCCTTTCCCCCCCAGCCACCTCCCTCATAATAATATTAGCTCATTTAGGGGGTGTCTTAAGGATGTACAAAGTGTTTCCCTCACAGTGCTGTGAGATAACTGAAGCTCCAAGTGGTGAAGAGACTGGCGTAGTATCACATAGCTAGGAAGTATGGGAGTTGGGACATGAACCCAAGTCTTCTGGACTGGAGACAAGCTGCTATTTTGGTAGGAAGGTCCTTGTCCCTAGAGATCTTTAAGCAGAGGCTAGATTCCTGCATTGACCTAGACTCTGATGTTCAAAGGTCTTTTTCTGCACTTGCCTTGAATTCCAGGGCTCTTTCTACCATACCATGGAGTCTCTCATGGCAATGACTCATCTGTTTCCAACTCCCCATTGAGCCACTTACTGAGATAGGAAAGTAGTCTGCCAGGTACTTCCACACATGCCATCGCTTCATGGTCTTGGTCTGCCTCCCAACTTTCCTTGGGGTGTCTCTATCCAGGTACCACCAGGCTGAGTAGAGGATGCTGAGCAGCCACAAGCAGGTGAAGAGGAGGCTAATAAAGATGACTGTGCAGACTGGGCCTAGAGAAAGAGCATATGCAATGCAGTCAGCATGGAGACTCAGGGTTGAGTGCCCAGCTACAAATACGCATCCAACTATGGTCAGATTGCCTTTTTGGGTAATGATCTTCCTGTTGCTGGAAAGCTTTATGAAGAGACTGGATAACCCCATCAGGGAGGTTAGAGAGGAGAACCCTACATTGGATGGGAGGGTATGTAGAATAAGTATAAGGTCACAAACTGACATTTTATGTGCCAGGATCCCTTCTAGCTCTTAGATTCTCTCTCCTAAAGTCCTTCCCTTTGACACTCTATGTTCTAAGGTCCCTCCCAGCTCTCACATTCTATGCCTTAAGATCTCTCTAAGGGGAGACATTCTATATTCTAAGACACCTCCTAAATCTGATATTCCATGTTCTAATGTCTCTCCCAGATCTGACATTCTATATTCCAAAGATATGCATATGCATGTACAGAACATATACATATATCTATATAGAGATGATGGAGAAGGAAATGGCAAACTGCTCCAGTATCTTTGTCAAGAAAGCTTGAAATAGGGTCATGAAGAGTCAAACATTACTGAAACAACTGAATACCACCAATGAAGTATACAAATGTAGATATATCTATAGCCAGATCACTATCTAGACATAACTGTAGCTATAGATTTGTCTACATATAGGTATATGTACATATCAAATTGTATATATATACACTACAGCTATAGATGTATTTACAACATATATATCTAGATATATCTATTTCTCCAATACATAGCTATATATGCATATATAGTAAATATATAGATAGATATACACTTACACAGATATATACAGATATATATACTTACACACACATGTATCTATATCCATATCTATCTATATAGATATGGATATAGATATAGATATAGATATATATGAAACTTTGTAGACTCAATCCTTGCCTTCAAAGTGTACAATCAAAGATTTATCTTGTGGTTCACTGAGACCAGTTATTTCTCATCTCTTTCCTATACATTTGGTCTCTCCTTCCCAAGTGTACTTTTCTCTCCTTTGTCTGTTTCTTCACCCTCTACTTGATTTCATAGCAGAATGATTTTGGTGTTAGGGGTGAGATATAAAACAAATTTAGCTGTTCCTGAGAGTTCTATAATAAACTAACCAATGAACAAACATTTATTAATTGCCTCCTGTATGCAGAGTACTGTTCTAAGGGAGATACAAAATTTGAGTGAGACATTTAAGGTACACAAATGCACCAGAGATGTGCAAAACAATTTGGTATATAAGGCCTAGGTGGAAGGTTGTTAATGATGAAAAGAAGGAAATCATGGAAGATTTCATGGAGGTCAAATCTGAGTTGTGATCTTAAAGATGGGGAGAGAGAGAGAACACTCCAGACATAGGGAAGGAATGGGGATACTATAAAGAAGGGGAAGCAAAGGGGAAGGCTGGAAGAGAATTTGATTTGCCAGAATATAGATTGAGAGGTATAAAAGACAAGACTGGAGGGGGCAGCTAAGTGGCACAGTGGATAGGGCACTGGGCCTGGAGTCAGGAGGACCTGAGTTCAAATCCAGCCTCAGATGCTTGACACTTACTAGCTGACTAAGTCACTTAACCCCTATTGCCTCAAAAAAAACCCCCAAGACTGTAAAGGTGGGTGACACTGGGATGTGGAGGGCCCTACTTGACAGGCAGAGGAATTTGGACTTTCCTCAGTGGGCAATAGGGAGCCACTGACAATTTTTGAGCAGAAAAATCTTTCCTTTTAGTCCCATGAACTCCTGCTTTGTCTCCTTTACAATGCTCCTCTCCAATCTGGCAAGTACTCCTCTGTTGATCATCCCTTCAAGGCCTTCTCTCCTCATGCCTCAGGCAGCCTGATCTCTGATGCTACCTCTTTCCCCACTGCCAAGTCCCATTATGGGACTCTCCTGTCCTCCCTCTCCTCCTCTCCTTCCTCTTTGCCCCTTTTTCCAACAACACTGAAACCTTTGGGAGGGATGGAGACTGAACTGGGGAAACTTGAGTCAATCAATCAATCAATAAGTATTTAAGTGGCTACTATGTGCCAGGTACATCTTCCCTTTTATGTGCTGGACTCTCCTTTCTTTCTGCTCCCTCCATGCCTTCTTCTTCCTCTCTCCCCTCCTTCTCCTTTTCTTCCTTCTTCTTTACCTCTTCTTCCCCTTCTTTCTCCCTTTCTTGTTCCTTTCCTTCCTTTTTATTCTCCTTATCCCTTTCTTTCCTCTTCCTACTTCTCCATCTCTTCTTCCTCCATTTCCTCTTCTTCTTTCTTCTTCCTCCCTCTCCTTCTTTTCTTTCTCTTCCTTCTCCATTGCCTCCTCTTTTTTCTTCATTCTCATTCCTTTTTCTTGCTCCTTCTTCATTTCCCCCTTTTCTTCCCCTTCTCCCTTTCTTCCTTCTCTTTTTTCTCCTCCATTCCCTCATTCATTTCCTCTTTCTCCTCCTTTATTCCTCCTCCTCCAGGTGCCAAGGAATAGCCCTGTATCCCAAATTCTAGGCTGGTCTCCCACCTAAAAAAGAAGGATAAATTGCTGGAGGAACACCTTGATAGATATCCTTCTTATCAGAGAGGATGAAGTGATCCTTGAATGAAGGAAGAAAGAGAAGGAGAAACAAAGAGGAAAAAGAAGCTTAAGTTTCAATGTCAGGAGGCAGAAAGCTGGAAGAATGAAATATGGCAGGGAAAAGGAAGAAAGGTCATGGAGTCCTTGGCAACAGGCAGATTTCAGTTTAATATAAGGAAAAACTAGCTTGTGTACAATAGTAATAATAATTGAGTTCACGCACATTATCTAATTTGAGGTTCATGACAACCATATGAGTTAGGCTCTGTGAGCATTGTTATCCCATTTTACAGATGAGAAAACTGAGGCTTAGAGAGGTTAAAAATGACTTGCCCAAGGTTGCAAAACTAGTGGAAGAAATAGGACTCAAACCCAGGTCATTCTGATTCTATCCTTCTATCCCCTAGGTCGCAAAGCTAGGACTACACATCCTTTGATTCTTCTACTGCCCCAGGCTTTCCTCCTCCCTTTCCGGAAATAGGGGAAAGGGCTGTACGCAAAAGGACCCTCATATTGATTTCCAATACTGGTCCCTCCTTGGCTCCTCCTCCTTTCTCCATCCGCTTTCTTTTCCCTTGAGGCCCTGGAAGAGAAAGGGGTGGGCTGCTTAAGGTTGGGGAGGTAGGAATCAGCCACACACACACACACACACACACACACACACACACACACACACGGAGAGACACACAGGCAGAGAGATAGAGAGTCCCGACAGGACTTCATTACTCAAGACTATGAAACCCAAGATCCATAGAATTACAGCCAACGTCTGCAGCCACCGCTTCAGCCGCGCGGAGAGAGACGCTAAGGAAACCATCCTTCCGCCAGTGCTGAGCTGGGAGCTGTCCCAAGTGCTCCTCTTCACTGTCTAACTAGCAAGGAGACCTTAAGCGCAAGGCGCTCATTCCAAGGAGCCCGACTAAGGCTCTGCCCAGACTGAGCTGGCCAATCTTTGCTGTGGCCTGGGATCCTTCCCAAGCTGTCTTCCTATCCTCAAATAAATCGAATAAAAGAAATTAATAGACATTCCTGTTCATTTCCAGGTTGCCTGGCAGAGCAGGAAATTGAGGTTGAGGGGAAACGATGTGTCCAAAGTGGTAACACAGCAAATTGGCAACAGACACGAGAATACCGAGTACTATGTGCTAAGTGGGAAAAGCGGTGCATCTGTGGTCAGAAGACTGGGTTCAAATCCCACTTGTGCGATTTTCGCCAAATCAAGTAATTCCTTTGGGCCTCAACTCAGTTATAAAATGAGGGTCTTGGTAATAGTTGACCTTTACACATATTCTAGATGAATATATATCAGGATGTCCACTTGTGACATCAATATGGGAATCTTTATTTTTAAGGCCTAACCAGGGTAGGTAAAATTGGAACTTTTTTCCTGGGTAACAAATTAGGGCTGGGGGGTGGTGGTGGTGGTGGTGCAGAGGCTTGGGTTCTTAACATGAGGTTAGTAAATTTAATTTTAAAAATTTTGATAATTCTATTTCAATATAATTGGTTTCATCTGTAATCTTGTGCATTTTATTTTATGCCAAAGGGGTCTATGACATTAAAAAGCTTAAGAACCCCTGCTTTAAGCACTGTGCTGCAAAACTCACTGGTTTAAAGGCTGAGAACATCATTTTAAAGGACAGTATAAATTCCCCCTTCCTTGGTTTGTCTCTAGGCCTAGGCCAGGGTTTCTAAATTGAGACATGAATATCCATGTTAAGGGAGTATGGGGAATATTTGTTAAATATTATGTGATGTAAATTAACTGTCTTATTTTATTTCTTATGTGCATATATGTGGCAAATTCTAAGATTACATAGAATCATAATTCTAAAGGTTAGAAGAGCCTTCAGAGGAGATCTAGTCCAGTTCCCTCAATTTACAAATTGGGAAACTGAGGCCCAGTGAGACTAAATGACTCACCAGGTTCATACAAAAGATGTCAAAGGCAAACCCAGGTCCTGTGACTCCAGAGACAGTGATCTTTTAACTGGGAATGTGGAAACACCCTATGCATGGCCCTTTCATCCTACATGAGGGGTACAGGAAGGTTTACTAAAAGCCAACCAAAAGAGATTGGGAACCCTTGGTCAAGGGAATACATTTACATTGTTGTTTTTGGGGGGCTAGGCAATAGGGTTGAGTGACTTGCCCAGGGTTACACAGCTAGTAAGTGTCAAGTGCCTGAGGCTGGATTCGAACTCAGGGCCTCCTGACTCCAGGGTGGGTGTTCTATCCACTGCACCACCTAGCTGCCCCTACATTGTTGTTCTTAATCTATCTTTGCTTGCGGCAGACTCTACCACTTGTGGAAACTTGTGCTTATTTAGGAGTACAATCTTAACATACTTTCTTTGTGATTGTGACTTCTGAATGGGAGTCACTGTTTCCTCCCCCTCTTCTGTGCCTCAGTAGCTCTGAAAAAGGCAATGTAAGACTTACCCAAATTAACTATAAAGGACATATGAAGAAAGATGCTGCACCCAGAAAAAGAACTGGTAAATAGATGTATAGAATAATTATATATATGTTTGCAAGTGTGTGTGTGTGTGTGTGTGTGTGTGTGTGTGTGTGTGTTTGCATCTAATGGTAGCCATGTCTGGGGGAGGAGGAAGAAAAAAAGGAAAAAGGGAAATTTACAGGATAATTTTGTTGCGTATTTGAAAGGAATAGCAAGTTGTGCATAGTAGATTTGCAGTTTCATGTGTGATAATCTTTTTTATTGCACTATGTTGTGGAAATGCTTGCTTTATTCCATAAATTAAAAATAAAATAAAATAGACATTTTTTAAAAAGGGAGTGTGTCTCCTTCTTCAAGGACCTAAGCCTTTCACCAAATCTCTACCTATACAAGCATTAATCATACAAGGGTGAGTTGGCCCAAGATTTATATATATAAGAGAATAAAATGAATGAAAGGACAGTAAGCAATGAATGGAACAGTTTGTTGGGGTGGCTTGTACTGCCAGCCATAGAAGCACAGTCAGCTTCCATGTCTTTAACTCCTTTCCCCCATAAGGAGAAAAAAAGAGGAAAAAAAACTTGGAGTTGGACAGTTAATGGGAACTACTCCATCTACCCCAACTACAAGAGGAGAGACAGGGACTTCAGGCAGGAAAATGTCTGGGTGAGGCATTTGCATTACCTCACAAACTCTACCTGACACCTCATCAGTCTGATTAATTCATCCAATTTGTACATCACCCATCAAAATCTCAGAAGGAAGGAGCAAGGCACTTCAGAGATAAGGTGCAGAATCATGAAATATCTCAAATACAATGAATCTCCAATATCAGTGCTTTGGAGGCTCCCCATCACAGGGGCAAATACATTTATAAAGCAGCCGTTTCTGTCTCACTCTATTTCTCCCCCTCCTCACATGCCCCAGATCCTTTCCTATCCCGAAAATTTACCTTAGTTATATTATTGGCACCCAGTAAACAAATAGTTACTGAGCAAAATGGAATAAAACATATGACATTATGCTGGCTGTGAAGAAGCTACAACATCTGGAGCAAAAAATATGCCCCTATGATTCAGTTTACAACATCTTGTTAATCAACAGCTCACACCATATTCCACAATAAGCTACAAATAAATACATGACCTAACCTGGGGTGCTTGATTTTTTTTAATACTTTAGTAAGTCTATTTCAATATATGTGGTTTTATTTTATGCACTTAAAAATAATCTTCCGAGAAAAGTTCATGGGCTTCACCACACTGCCAAAGGAGTCCATGTTACAAAAAAAGGTTAAGTACTTCCAACCTAGATATAAACATAAACAACTTAGAGACTCATTGTGATTCATCAAAGAAAACCAGTTTCACATCTATGGATAGAGGAAATGCTCTTGACAAAATGACAGTGAGAGAGGACATCACAGGAGATAATGTGGACAATTTTTATTATATAAATTGAAAAATGTCTGCACAAATAAAATCAATTACACTGTGGGTCAAGCTCTTATCTGCACTAAGCTCCTCCTCTAGCGCCACTTACACCAGGCTTTCTGCATCCCTGAGGTCAGGATTGTCCAGTAATAGCCATAAGGACATTATTGTGGCAAAAGGTCCTCCAGAAGAGATGTCAAATGCATCATCTGAAGTTGAAGTCCATATGTGGTCCACAACATGTTCAAATGCAGCCCAAACCAGATAAAAATATAGCTGGGAAATATTTAATAAAATAAAATTGAAATATAGATAATTTTAAAACTAAGTCAGTATGTGCCCCCCAGGGATTCTTATAAACAGATTAGTGGGGTTTGACACCGTTGCTTTTTAGGACCACCCCTTGACACCAAGGGGTGGTATGTCACAAGAGCAACACCTCTCCCTTGTGAACTAGATTAAGTTTTCCTTAAAAGATAATGAAATCTTTCTCAATTCTTAATTGGTCTAGAGGTCTAAGGATAGGTCCATTGAGGTTACTTCCAGATTGTCAAAATGTAAAATCAAGCAAAAGTGGAATGGTGATTCTTCTGACTTGGCACATATTTGACCATCAAGCTACAAATGTGGAGGAGGGCAGCTTAACTGAAATGAGTGAATATTTTGCATCTTCATAGAATATCCTTTCCATGCTATGATTGAGTAAACCTCCTTCTGTTAACTGCCAGCTATTCTGCAAGTATCTCATTCCATCCCACTTCTAAAATTGAACTTCTGGGCCAACATGAGTGAAGTCTGACATATAACAGCTGTGATTTCTAAGATCTCATGGTTCCTTCCTCTTTGGGGATCATATGGTTTCCTGATTCTCAGAGAGTCTGCAAGGTTGCAAGAACTTGAATGTGTTTATGAATGGATGGAAGAGAAAGTCATTTACTAAGTGCTTACTATGTGCCAGGCACTGTGCTAAGTTCTATGGCTATATGCACAGAAGTTCTAACCTCTTGGGAGTCTACATTCTAATCAGGAAGACAATAGATAGAGAGGACTAGAGATAGCCCAGGCGGATAGTTGTATGGGATATGAAGGTTAAGCATGTTCTGCGGCCTGGAGCCATCTGGATGTGCTGGGTTTGGTATGGTGGCATTGGTATTGGCATGCCATGTGCTGGCAACTATTCAGTCAAAACAGCTAGGCTCTGCGGCGAAAGTTGCAAAGATGAGCGAGTTAAGCTTTGCCTGCTTGTGAGGGCTGTTTCCCTAGGGAACTAGAGTTTCTATGAATCTAACCAGTGGCCTTTTTAGTTGTCTACTCTGTGCTTTTTCTTTCTTTTCAAAGGCCAAGGCAGCTAGCCAACCAACCATTCTTAATGTACTGGGTGCCCAGCCTATTCTGACCACTTCTTGGTGCCTCCACTTAGCCTCCACTCAGTCTTTTATGGATAGAGATTTCCAAAACACATGGGCCTTGCAGGATCGTAAAGGCCCAAGGGCAGAAGCTGCTGGATAGACTACTTTTATAGCTTCCAAGTCTGTATCCTGTTCTAGGCCTCACCAGAAAGATGCAGACTTGAAGGTGACCCGGTAAATGGCAGCTGTAAGGATACCCAGGTAGAGAATGTGGGTTCTTTAAACCTGAAGATTCCAATCTCTAGGATTTCTTCTTAGATTACAGAGAAGCAAGTATCAGTAACTTATTCCAGACTATGACCAGAATCCTCTGAGTTTTCTCTACCTACAATGTTTCCTATACTTGACGGGGTAGGATGGACGCTGGATTTTCTGAGGGTTGATTTCCCACCCTTTGTCCTCATGTGTAGAGGGCCGATCTTAAGAGTCTGATATGAGTTTAAGATCCAGGACAGAGTTTGACCTCTGCCCAGGCTTTTACCCAAAGGGCTCAATAATTAAGAAGCAGGGCTCT